AGCAAGATTAATTGAGGCACTAAATCAGTCGCTAGGTCAGATATTCATTTGGTCAATCATTCATTCAATTAGTCACTACGTCACTTGCTACTTCATTCATAACTCATTTTGCAAGTTATTAATCCAATCATTAATTCTGTGGGTTCCATTTTCTGATTTGGGGGAAACTTAGTTATCATTCATTCCTTTATCACTTTATGCGACGAAGATTGACTGAAGCACTAAATCATTTCCGGAGCCATTTATAAAGTTATTCAACCAGTCATTATATCATTAACAATTTAATTCTTAACTCATTCACAAAGTTTTTCATCCATCAGTAATTCGGTTAGCCCATTCATCTGATTGTGGGAAATTCAACTATCACTTTTTCATCAGATTATGCGAACAAGACTAACTGAGGCACTAAATCAGTCGCTAGGTCAGATATTCATTTGGTCAATCATTCATTCAATTAGTCACTACGTTACTTGCTATTTCATTCATAGCTCGTTTTGCAAGTTATTCATCCAATAATTAATTCGGTGGGTTCAATTTTCTGATTTGTGGGAAACCTAGTTATTATTCATTCCTTTATTACTTTATGCGACAATGATTGACTGAAGCACTTAATCATTCCCGGAGCCAGTTATTAAATCATTCCATCATTACCAATTTAATTCTCAGCTCACTCATAAAGTTATTTATCCATCAGTAATTCGGTTGGCCCAATCATCTGAATTTGGGAAGTGCAACTACCGTTCTTTCATTACTTTAAACGAAATAGAATAAATACAGCTCACACTCAACTAAGGACTTTCACTTTTCAAACTTGTTATAAACTTCAAACTAAGCATGCATAAAGCTTGGCCCAATCATTGCCATAAAGGAAGGGAGCCTTTCCTGGTCATAAGCTCGTAAGAGCTGTGATCCGATCTGACATTTGAGTTTGAAGGAAGAATAGGTGGTTGGACGGTCCTTCATCATTGGCCTCATCAGAAACCGAATGAATGAAGAACTTTGGATCATCCGATCAAGTCCTCAGCTCACCTTCCTGAGATTGTGATGATTCTGTGCTGAGCTGTCTTCTGTGATTTGGTCAACTTTTGTTTTTACTTTTTACGGACAGGGAGCCGAGGACTTTTTCGTTTGATCCCACATTTTTCAATTTATCGCTTTTTGGTGAGGCCGATTCAGCAATCCATTCCAAAGTAAACAGAATTATCTGGAAAACCAATATTTTCTGCATTTAATGAGCACAAATCTTTTACTTGTCCCATGGGAATGGCCCTAGGAATCCCCCTAGAAGATCATCTTTTCCCGGCTGCACTCGATAATCAATCTCAGTTGTGAAGCTTATTGCAACGGAGGCCAGTGAATCGAAGGGTGGACTGTTTTATAGTGGGTTTTGACATGTTTTTTCCTAATGACCGAATGTGCTACTCACATTTATAGTGAGTAGTGGTAAAATGTCGATAATAGACGCTTCAGTTAAGCTCGACTGACCGTCTCGAAGTGTGTTGGGCTGGAAGAATCACGAGACGAGAAACCGCGACCGACGAGTGTCTGCTCGGTGTTGCCTGAACAACCTGTCTTTTCTCCCACCCCACGCACAGGGTCTGATCCGTGCTGCGCGCACAGCCAACGCTTGGATCATCACGTCCGGCCTCAATCTGGGCATCATCCGCGTCGTCGGCGACGCCGTCCACGAAGGCCAGACCTATTACTACGACCAGCGCACGGTTTCGCAGCCTCTGCGATGCCTCGGCATCGCGCCGTGGGGCTACGTCAGGGACAGAGCCCAGCTGACCGCGAAGGTGAGGCAACGAGCCCAATTTCACACTATTTGAATACACAAAGACCAAGCAGTTGTGGTCTACTGGTGGGGTCGCAGTCTCCTTTCGATTGATAGAAGTGGGTTGACCTCGTTGTGGCAACTTGGTCTTGTGTTCAGCGGGACTATGTAGAACGCAACGAGTTCGAAGTCGTCTTCCAGAGTAGTTGTCATGTCTTCCAGCATCAGACAGTGGACTTGATACATTCGCAAACGTTTCGCCGGCCTCATAGTCAGCATCATCAGTGAGCTTTGTTATTCTCCGCACCAAGCTACGAACTCGTCAAAAAGACAAGTGAACTCGATCCCACGACAAACGTTCTGGCGAAAACGGTTAGGGTTAGGGTTATGGTTAGGGTTAGGGTTAGGTTTAGGGTT